TATTATTTTTTATTTTTATTTTATGTGTATGCGTGTATTACCTGCATGTAGGTAAGTGCACTCATATCGTGCAATGCCCTCGGAGGACAGAAGAGGCCGGCGGATCCCCTGGAACTGGAGTTATAGACAGTTGTGACCTGCCATGTGGGTGCTGGGATTCGAACCCGGGTCTTCTGCAAGAACAGCCAGTGTTCTTAACCGGTGAATCATTTCTCCAGACCCCCAATTTTTTTTTTTTAAGACAGGATCTCTGCCGGGCATGGTGGTGCACGCCTTTAATCCCAGCACTCGGGAGGCAGAGTCCAATAGCCCTAGCTGATGAGTCTGTCTAACTTTCCGGTGGTATAAACCCTGGATCAGTAGACTGGGCTCCAGGATCTGGCTCCCAGAATCCTGATTTGTTATGTCTAACTGGTATTCTGATTTTCTCTACTTAGCAATAGGACACCTCAAACACAATGTGGCCAAAGCTGAACTCACTATTTTTGTTCAAACTTGTCCCTAGTCTCTCATTTCTTTTCCCGTTTAATGGCATCATCATCTATCTAATCTTATCCAAGCAGAAAAATAGAGAAAATTCTTCCCACCAGGTTTTAAGGTTCTGGAAGTCAGGGCCTGAGCTATCTTTTCAATTTCTAACTCCATGCTTAAAATACCACTGGGCATAAGCTGGGTGTGGGGGTGCATGCCTTTAATCCCAGGATTTAGGAGACAGAGGGAGGTGGTCTTTGTGAGTCCAAGACCAGCCTGGTACATAGTAAGCTCCAGGCCAGCTGGGCAGACCCTGTCTCAAAAAATAAAACAAACAAACAAACAAACAAAAAATTCATCAGACACATGACAGATTCTCAGCAACTACTTAGGCATTTTGATTCCCAATCTCTTCTTGATATTTTTATAAAGCTCATCTTGAATCACTATGGAATCCTTCCTTTTAACAATGCTTAGCACCATCTTCTCAATTTTGTTTCCATATAGCAAAAGAATACTGCTATGTTCTTAACTGTAGTCTAGTCTCCAGCAAACTCTGAGTCCTAGACTTCTATCATCCATCCTCTCTCGCCCTCATAATGCTGTCAAATCATTGGGATCAAACAACAGTAAAAATTTTATGAGTGCATCTCTCATTGCCACAGCTCACCTTCAAATCCAACACGCTCAAGCAGGTTCAATGGGTACCAAATTAAAGGTTTGTTCCCAACTGGAAGCAGAGGTTTAGGAATGCTGGAAGTCAAGTCTGTCATCCGAGATCCCCCACCAACAGCCATCACTACAGCTTGGAACTCCATTTTTATAAACTGCAAGCATAGGAAAAAAAAAAGTTGTAACAAAAATCAAACGACACACAGTACTAATTTGTTCTTTTTTAGGTTAGTGATCCCACTTGTGTCAGATGCATCATCTCCAGTTTTAGTTACCAAAGTAAGAAATCCTCCTTAACTGCAGTACAAACACCATCTTTATCATCTGTAACCAACATAGACTTTTAGCTCCATCCTTGGTGAAAGTAGGGGAATATGAAGGAAAAACATCTGGCCCTTGCCCTTGAGTCGTTTATAGTTAAGAGAAGACACATTTAGCAAATTACAATATACTGGGTGCCATGGAAAGGATGTATTCAAGACACAGTGGGCATAAAGCCAAGGGAACACCTATATCTTCCAAGAAAACAGAGGAAATGTTTTATAGGAAGGCAATGCTGGATCTGATTCTAAGAAGTAAGTTTGCCAAGTCAATTTCTAATGTGAATTCATCCTTGAAAACATTTAAAACAAAATTTGTGACCAGAACTAATAGCAGAAATTCAAGCATGTTATGCATCTGGAAATTATCAAATCAACTTAAGATTCTCCCAATAATTCAGTCATTTGCTCTAGCCTTTCCATAACCCCCAGTTACAAAAGTACCTTAAACACAAATGAAAAGTTTATATCAGAACTTACTCTTGCAGAATCCTATTGCAAAAACAACCCAAATTGCTAACTCCTTTTTTTCAAGTTCAAGGTAATAATCTATTCAACCCTGAAAATAATTTTTACAGCACCTACCAGAGAACAGAGGTACAGTGAAAGGTCAAAAATCCTTACTGGCCAGGCCTGGTGTCACTTGTCTTTAATCCTAGCACGAGAAGGCAGAGGCAGGTGGATCTCTGTGAGTTCAAAGCCAGCCTGGTCTACATACTGAGATCCAGGCCAGCTGGGGCTACAGGGAGACCCTGTCTCAAAAAGACCAAAAAAAAAAAAAAAATCCTTACTGATTAAAATAGAAAGTATACTTGGACTTAAAAAATTACATAACCATTTTTAAATTAAAAGTATAAGATGCAACATCCAGAAAAATATAACTTCAAATTGGCAAATAATGTTGTATGTTTATTATAATACTTAGTCCTAGACTACATACATGAATATCTAAATCACAGTATTTAACACCCAGTATGCCCAAGGCACAAAGTGCAGCCTCTTGAACAATTCAGAACTTAAAGGTATGATCATTTCAATTTCAAACAAATACTGCCTCAGACTGAGATTTAACTTTTATTCTGGGATTATATAACTCCCATAACATTTCATTATTATGAAAAGAAAAACAGATACTTTAAAGTCAAAAGGCCTAAATTTGAGTTCTGTCACTCACAGGTGGTATGACCAGGGGTCTGACAAAACTCTCAGCATCCTCAGTCTTTAGAAAGTGGTTATGCCCACAGATCCTAGAACCAGATGTGAATTTCTAGCATTACCAATTATTAGCTCTGTGATCAAGCACAAATTAGTTTCTATGCCTTGTCTATGCCTTCTTTTTTAAAAATCTGGTAAGATAGGAACAGTTATAATTTTTACATCACTAGGCTGTTGTTGAAATAAAATAAGAGCTCACTTGTTTCATATGTATGAGGCCTTAGGACAGATCCCAGGGTGGGAAAGAAAAAAAGTCATTCTAGGTAAAAATACAAAGTAATGTCTATCCTATCACAAACACTACACACATTTGATATTATTGTACAGAGACTAACTAGATCATGGAAAGCCCACTGAACCACACTGTTCAGTAACTCTAGTCTGTATGCCCCCTTTTAAAAGGGGGCTGGAGAGATGGCTCAGCAGTTAAGAGCACTGACTGCTCTTGCAGATGACCCAGGTTCAATTCCCAGCACCCACATGGCAGCTACGAACCGTCCTTAACTCCAGTTCCAAGGGAATCTGAAGCTCTCTTCTGACCTCCGCAGCATTGCACGACATGGGTGCACTCACATACATGCGAGCAATACAATCATACGCATAAAATAAAAGTAATAGATTAAAAAAAAAGAGCACTCACTGGCTGCTCTTACAGAAGACCCTTCAATTCCCAGCTGCTAATTGTCCATAACTCCAGTTCCAGGGGAATCTGACACCCTCTTCAGACCTCTGTGGGCATTGCATGACATGGGTGTATTACAGAACTGGAAAGCTTTTGCAATATCATGGTAATTAAGAACTTCGGCTGTTGGTCTGATTTTTCCGTAACAGATGCACTTACACAAGTACAGGCAATACATTCATAGACATTAAAAAAAAGATAGGTGTTACTATGTTGCCCAGGCTGAAGTACAGGCTATTCACAGATGTGATGCCATTATGGATTAGCACATACCACCTGGTGGTTCCAGACTCTAGGGGTCTCCATATTGATGCTTCTGAACCTAGTACAGATATGATTATATAGTGTATGTTAAGGAAAAATCAGAGATCAACACCCGATGTCAGGTGAGGAGAGGAAGTTTAATAATTTTACACTAGTAGGACTGACCCCAGGAATAAAAGGAGTTAGACCCCTTGTTCAAGTTTTGGAGGGCTTTTATAGTCATGTGTGGGGAAATGCAAACAAAAGACAAAACAGCACATAAGTGACAATTAAGTAAAAAGGTACATGTGATAATTAAGCAAGGTAACATGTAGTCACAAAGGGGGCAGGATGAGAGACTCCTGCTCACCTCTCCATGCCTGTCTCTTGTTTCAAGAATTTTCCCTACTGCAAAGTTCTTAATTACCAGCACATTGCAAAAGCTTTTCATTTCTGTAATATATACTAACAGCCTCAAGCTCCTGGGCTCAAGGGATCCTCCTGCCTTACCATCCTGAGTAGCTGGAATTACAGATCCACTGGCACTCTTGCTTGTTAAGTTGGCTTTCTCCTGTGTCTGGTAATCAACTAATATACTTTTGAGACTCAGCTCAAGAATCATCTTGCCTATGAAGCCATAGCTAACTCTTCCCATCCTACTGATGGAAGGGACTTTTTTCACTAATTGCTTCTACTATACGATGTACAGATTCCCTCAGACTTTACATGTAAAGGCTTCATTGAATGTATGTACTTAAATGTCTATTTAAGAGTGAGTTCCTTGCTGGGCATGGTGGCACACGTCTTTAATCCCAGCACTTGTGAGGCAGAGTCAGGCAGATCTCTGTGAGCTCAAGGCCAGCCTGGTCTACATACTGAGTTCCAGACCAGCTGGGACTACGGAGGCCCTGTCTCAAAAAGACCAAAAAATGCAACCTAAGAAGCAAGATTAACTATGAACCTAACTAATCACGATACCCGGCTGACTCAAAGGTCTCAATATTACGGTCAAGAGTTTGAGAATGAGGGCAGTCTCACTAGCCTCCCACACTTTACAGGAGGCGTCCACAGCATCTCAGCCGTGCCTCCCTCACAGCACACGCTGTCTTCTCCAGTCGTAAACAGGCAGACCGCACTGCACCACAGCTGCTCTGTCCAACACTGGGCGCTGCATGCGGGCTGCGGCCCTGTCTGTTGCTTGTACTCAATGCTCTGCGCCCAAAAAAATGTACGGTGACTAAATAAGGTGGGCAAAATTCAAACACCGTACCAAGGAGGTCCCGTGCTCACTTGCAGTGACTTCAAGCAGAGCCTTCCCTCCTCGAAACTCAGTTTTCCCACCTGTGGCACACGGTGGTTGACTAGGACTTCCCCCAGTCTCCCCAAAAGGGACGCCCGGCTCCACGGACGGGTCCAGGAGGGCTCGGCACTCAGTCTACCACGTTAGGTCATGCTCGGCGAGCTCGTGCCTTCACACGAAAGGCTTCCTAGCACCATGTGCCGGTCATCCGGCCCACCAGCTCGCACTTCGCCTGGCCCCGCACAAGCCCCGGCTTTACCTCAGCTCCCGGCACACTGCAGCCGCTCCCAGCGCTCCCCACGCCGCAGCTGCCTGACAGACCAAGGGCGCAAGCGCGCGACGGCCGAGCAGATCGATGGGACGCCCTGGGCAGACCCGTGAAAGAGGGACGAGCGCCGAATGACCGATGACAGCAGTGCTACAGTCGGACTCCTACTCTGCATTCCAGTTTCTGAATTACTGCCCTATCTTCCATTCACATACAGCTCATTGAGTATCCCTTCCAGTCTCTGAGATAGTTCATTGGCCACCAGAAATTTTGGTTAGTCAGTGTAAAGATAGATGATAGATGGAGGGAGGGAAAGAGGGAGGGAGGGATAGGAGCGGAAAGGAGGGAGGGAGGGAGAGAGGGAGGGAAGGAGGGAGGGAGTCAAATAGGTTGATGTTAATTGAGAGAGAGAGAGAGAGAGAGAGAGAGAGATAGCTCTATTGGTTAGCCAATTTTAGCCATCCAAACAATGGCGCAAAAAGTCAACAAATGTTTCATTGATGACACTTAATGGTTTGATGACAGTGAGATAGGTTGAGTCTTGGATAAGAATCTTCCAAGCACAAGCAGATAAGCCAGTAAGCGCAAAGATCCTGAGAGAAATTTCATGCTCAAAAAACAGCAAGGTAGCTGAGTGAAGCGCACCTTTAATCCCAGCACCCAGGAGGCAGGGGCAGGGACAGGTGATTCTTTGTGAAATCTAGGCCTGCCTGGTCTACACGAAAACCAGGCCTGGCTACAGAAAGACCCTGGATCTGGTTCTATTAGTGAGGCTAGCCAGGGACCAGAAGTTTTCTAGGTATTTTTTCAGAAAGACTCTTTTCCCTCTTTCAGGCCTTTATTTTCTCTAGTAGTTGCCTTGTATTTTTCTAGCTCTGCAGGTTTGATTTACATAAAAACAGTACAAATACCTCTTTTTTATGGTCCTGGCATCATTAGTCTAAGAGATAAGCTCACTGGCAGACCCAAGGAATTTTCCAGCTTTCAGTTGAGAAAGAAACTGGTCATTTTTCTTTTGGGGTCTTTACTTTTAAACTAATTTTTACTTTTTATATTTATTATTTTTTTTTCTGAAGAGAAAATCCAATTTGCCATTGGGAATCAGGACACAGACCGATCTGGCTTCTTCCATGCTGAACAAGGACGGATGGTGTAGTGTGGCAAATGGACTACCCCTTCAGTAGGTCTACCTGAAAGACCCAAAAGTATATGTAGAGGAAAGAACGACCTTGACTGGTGCCTGTGAAGGAGAAGTAAAGGCAAGAGTAGTTAGACATACATTACAGGCAGGGAACCAGAAGTCAAAACAGGGTGAATTTTAAATGTCCAAATTAGAATTTCTTGATGAGGACTTCCAAAAGCATCTATTTATTGAGTTTTCCTTATTTTTCATTTGGCCATGACAGCTGGACTCAGGATCTGTTTCTCAGGCATTATGATAGCTGTTGGGAGTGGCTAGCTTCATGCTGTGAATTTTCTCTTACATGTCTTCTAAACAGGGGAGAGAAGAAATTTAACCATCATTTAATTTTGATAACAATAGTAGACTTGGCCCTTTTGGCTGCAGGTGGCACAAAATTCTAGTGAGAATTTTTCTAAATAATATCTCATGAACTTTTAAGTCTAATGTCTGGGAAGCATAATCCCTCAGGCTTTAAGGAAATATACTGTTTACTTTAATCCTTGGTTATACTTTCCTTTTGGGTATTTAAGACCATACAGTTGGCCCAAATTAACTAATTTACTTTTACTTTAAGGTTGGGTAAGGATCTGGTCCTCAGGGGTCACATGGGCTTGGGAGGAGCCTCTGGCTCCTTAGGCCTTTTCTTTTACAAGTTCCATCTATGAGACTATAGGTCAAGAGGGCCTGCTCAACCAGGGCTTCACTTGGAAGCATGGAGGAAGTGTTTCCTCTGTGTTGACCCTCCTCTTTGCAGACTGGACACTGGTTTGAGTCCCTCTGATGGGGTCTCCATGACCTCCCTGAACAAGAAGACAGGTGACGTATCACAGCTACAGGACATATCAAGATACTCCCATAGTCCCCTGGGACATTGTCGACCTTTTAGGGCAAGAAATAAAACTGTCCCTTAAGCCCCTTTGACCAGATTAGTATGGGCTTTTAAGTATGGTTATTAGCCATCCAAGAAGGTCGGTTGCACCAGCTTGGTAGCTTTAATTACTGTGTAATATATAGAAAAGACTTGAACAAAACCCAAATGTTCTCAGACATTCACTGGAAGAGATTTACCATCACAGGTTAACTAGGCATAGCCCAGGAAAGGGACCTAAAAATAAGAATTTCTTGTCTCTCTCAAATGAAGTTTGTTCTATTACAAACATAATCAGTCTCCTTTCCTTTCCAGTTTCCCATACCCTGATTTACAGTTTTCAGACAGAAGGGAGGCATCGTATCACATACCTACAGACAGGAAGTAGACTAATCAGAATTCAGACCAAGATTCACCAAAACGTTTTCTTCTAGATTGCACACATCTGGTTCAAGGAGGTAGACCTAGTTTTTCTTGAGCCAAATCAGTCTTGTTATGGATAAAAGAAAGTGCCAAAAGTAATATTTGCATAACACGGAGAAACATAAAAGACATCTTTCAGTAATTATAGGTAACCCAATTCTTGTCTGCATCCATTTAACCCGGTGTGCAGTACAAGCCAGGAATGGACTGAAAATCAACTCTGTATCTCCATGAACCTGTTCAGACCTTTAATAAGTTTGCTTAAAATGAATTTCATTATTCCTTCTATTCTGGAAATATCCTCTTATTTTAATTTTTATATATAAATCTTTTATATCAATATAAATTTTTATATATAAATCTTTTATAT